CGACTGTAGCCATAGGCAGAAACATGGCCGACTGTAGCCATAGGCAGAAACATGGCCGACTGTAGCTACAGGCAGAAACATGGTTAACTGTAGCCATAGGCAGAAACGGGGCCAGCTCTAGCTATAGGCAGAAACATGGCCGGCTCTAGCCACAGGAAGAAACAGAGCTGCCTCTAGCTATAGGCAGAAACGGGGACGGCTATAGCTATAGGCAGAATGTAACCACAGGCAGAAACGGGTTTGGCTCCAGCCATTGGTGGAAATATGGTCGGCTTTAGCCATAGGTGGAAACAGGGCCGACCGTAACCATAGATAGAAATGGGGTTGACTACAGGCATAGGTGGAAATGGGACTGGCTCAGTCTATAGGCAGAAACAAGGCCAACTATAGACATAGGTGGAAACAGGGCCGACCGTAACCATAGGCAGAAATGGGGTCGACTAAAGGCATAGGAGGAAATGGTACTGACTCTGTCTATAGGCAGAAATATGGTTAACTGTAGCCATAGGCAGGAACAGGGCTGGCTCTACCTATAGGTGGAAATGGGGCTGGCTCTACCCATAGGCAGAAACATGGTTAACTGTAGCCATAGGCAGAAACAGGGCTGGCTCTACCTATAGGTGGAAATGGGGCCAACTGTAGCCATAGCCAGAAACGGGGCTGGCTCTACCTATAGGTGGAAATGGGGCTGGCTCTACCCATAGGTAGAAACATGGTTAACTGTAGCCATAGGCAGAAACATGGTTAACTGTAGTCATAGGCAGAAACAGGGCTGGCTCTACCTATAGGCGGAAGTAGGATAAATGTAGAAAAATTCTAAATGTAGAGCCAGCCCTGGGATGAATGGATGGATGGATTGATGGATGGATGGATGGATGTGTGTACCCAACAGAGTTCAGTTGTAATAGTGTGGTATATCCATGGCAGTGGTCACTTATCATAGCTGTTAGACTTCTCTACATGTTTTGACCCAACTCGCTCATCTAGAATGTGGAAAACAACTCTCTGGCCAGCAGGGGCTGTTTTTGGCTGTGTTACCATAGCAGCATTTGCAGCTCTGTGGAGTTTAAAGAGAGACATCAGATAACAATGTAGGTTATTAACAACTAAGGCTCCAGCTGTCGAACAGCCAGCCAGACCTTGCTGACATGGCGTGGACTTCAAACATGACACCTGCGCAGAGCATGATGCACAGGGCTTCAGCTGGATTTGTCTGACTGATATCTTTAAGTATTTATTTGATTGTATCATGTAAATATTATCTGGACAAGAAGACTGATGTATAGCGGCGGTGGAAATATGATTCTTATTTTAATAGGATCATTTTCCTCATCACTTCCCATTGCATAAAGTAGATAATCATATGATAGATAATTACCCTATAATTCCATCAGGAATCTACAGCTTCATTCCTCTCACTCCCAATTAATTACACAATCAGCATTTTTCCCCCAGATCTCCAACAGTGTGGTTACATCTCCACTAATGAAGAGTTTTCAGCCCCTGATCGGCAACTGCATATGAATGAGCAATATACACGAGGCTTCTCTTTAAATAAGGCACACCTGAAAGAATTGCTAATTGCATTTGATGGCAAGCAATTAAAACAGAATGGTAACGAGCAGTTTAAAAATGGAGTTGTTACGTTGTACTTAGTGGTGTAAAATACCCATTTAACATATGCTAAAAATATCCGCTGCAGAAACGATTCCTCGCTTACAGTGTTGTCCATTGGCTGTTAGCTCTCAGTCGTGCTTTCAATAGGCTGATAAGTGGTGCTTACCGGTGCTGTCAGCCCCCTGCCATGTTCATCCCACAGTCACGTGAAACCCACGAGGGCTGAGCCGACTTAGTGTCATGTTAGTGGGGTATAAGGCCAGAAAAACTTTTGGCATCTGCCGTTATTATTCCTCGTTAAAGAGAGATGGCCGAGGGCTGATCGGCCATTTGCCCAAAACGTAGAAAACAAAGTCAAAGACAAGTGATGCAAGAGTAAGCAGCCAGCAAAGAGTGTCATGCAGCACATGAGACATAAAGCACTGTGGGACATGTCAGTAGCGGATCCCTACCTGTGAAACGCTTTGGCAACACGTGTGCAGCACAGCTAGGTATAGCTGTCAACTGGTTATGCAAATAGCAGGTTTATAAAGGTTTCCTGGCTGGTGGATCCCCACTGTGTGATCCAGCAAGGTAACAAAGGTGTTCCCACTGGAGGATCCATTGGGTGATCCAGCAGGATAGCAAAGGAACCCTAGCTGGAGGACCCACTGGGTGATCTGGCAGGGTAACAAAGGTGTCCGGACTGGAGTATTTGATGATCCACTATGTGATCCAGCAGAGTAACAAAGGTGTCCCAACTGGAGGATGCACTGGGTGATCCAGCAGGGTAACATCGTGTGGGGCAGTAGGGGGTGTGGAATACCAGGAAGGGAAAGGGCATGCTCGTTACAGTAGCGCTGGCACGATTCCCAAAATGAACAAACCGAGAATTTAATAATCAGTTTTCATATGTTAATTCCCTGAACTCACGAACAGATCGGCCCATTCATGGTGGGTGTGTGTGCATATGAGGCACTCCCACAAAGCATGATCAATCAGCTCTGAGTTTATTTTCATCCTGTTACAGGAGCCCCTGCTTGTGCTGACAAATGAGGTGGGGGTCGGGAGAGGGCTTTTCTCAGACAGCAACCAGATTTCACTTTCTTTTTTTTTGTATACGTCTTCAACTGCTATTTTCATTACAGTGCTTGATCTTACCCAGAGTGCAAAGCTCCCCTAAGGGGTAACAATTTGTAAATACAGCTGTGCCATTCTTCAAATACTAATGTATAAACTGTGAATAATGTACCGTGAGCTGTGCTGAAAAGTAGCTGGCAGTTGGCTCAGTCATTTTGTGTGTCTGTGTTTATGTCTTTGTGTGTGTGTGTGTGTGTGTGTGTGTGAGAGAGAGAGAGAGATTGGTGTTTCTTGGCAAGGCCTCGCTTACCTTTCATGAGATAAGGGCACGTTGTCTCACAGCAGGAGTGCCACTACAGATTTTCTGTCCCATGAAGGCTTATCATATTGGGTCCCCAACCCAGACCAAACTTTTAGGGTCCCAGTCACTTGAGGGCCCTTGGAATCATCCCAACTTTCCCCTCCTTTACAGTGCCTCTGCCTCGCAGCACTCCAGAAATCACTCCATCTCATACCTGCAATCTCAGAATGTCGGTGTGAGATGGAAATCCATGCCCCCCCCAATAAGCATTGAATCTTACCATTACCATCAATTAACACGTGTGGAATTTCACTCAAGACTATAAAATCCACATGCTTTATTTACCGGTTAAAAATGGCGGGGAAACAATGCTGCTTTTACCAGCAGATTTGAATTTGAAGATCATATTAGCATTATAATCCACAAACGCTGCTCCTCTCCTCTGCTCTTCAGCCAGAGCAGAGTGTCCATTAGGAGGTGAACTCATATGGTCGTACAGAACAAAGCAGGATGAAGACATGTTGGATAAAGCTGCAGAATATCACGATAATTTTCGGTTAATGTAACTGGATAATTGCTTGCTGATGGGAATATGGATTTATGGTTTTCGAACCTGTGTTTTTTAAGTAGCAGAGCTCACCTTGTTTTCTGTCCCTTTCCTCTCATGGACCACCACAGCTGAATCTGGTGTCTAACGTCAGCATGACTAAGAACCTGCCGTCGGCTCCCCCCCCGAATGCACCCCCCGCACCCACCACCCCGACTGCCCCGGTCACCCCGATGACCCAGGTGCCCCCAGTTCTCAGTCCTGCCAGCCTGCCCAGCATGGGGGCCATGCGCAGGCGCCACTCAGACAAGTTCTCCATCTCCATGTCCTCAGGTAGCGTGATCCACAAACCAGGAGCAAACCATAGGGCAGCCTGGCGTATCCCTAATACCATGATTTTTAAGGCAACTTTTCTGTTATCATTCATTCATTTATAGAATGAGTTTCTGCCGTATATATAATTATTACAGCTGCTCTTTAAGGTGAACATCCTGCTCCTACAAGCAACAAAGCATGTGCCTGAAACTGAACAAATACATCATGTAGGCAGGGTTACTGTATGGCTAAGCATGAGAAGTCTAACATCTAAGGGATTTTAAATGTGCTGTGATTGTTGGTGACTGCCAGGGTGCTCCCAGCATGTCAGACACTGCCGCCCTCCTGGGATTTTCTGGTACTACAGTGGCAGAGACTGCTGCGATAAAGAGAAACATCCAGCCAATCTCATTAAAGCTAACAGGAAGGTCACAAGTGACACAATAACAGTGCAGTGCTACAGCAGTGTGCAGAAAGGCCTCTCTGAATGCATAACTAGTCAAGCCTTCAAATGGCTCAGGAGACCAAGGGGGTTCAACCTGGTACTACATAGCAAAACCTAAGAAAGTAGGCAGTAACTCAGGTACTTGGTCAAAAATATGAATACCTTATATATGAGTGTGCGTGTGCATGTGTGTGTATTCATACATACATGGGTGTGTGTGTGTACATATATGCAAATGTGCATCTGTATACTATGCACATACAGTATATTAGTAAACATAAACTCAATTTAGTATATGCTAGGCACATATGTTACATGTGTATACAGGCAGTTCCCAGGTCACCAATGAAATCCGATGAAGTCTGTAGGTAGGATCAATAATGCTACAGCACATAATAATAATAATAATAATAATAATAATAATAATGGTAAAAGTAAATACAAGTACTGTACCTTGAGCCGATGAACTGGCGTAGCCATGCAATCTTTTCATGAACGTCACAAAGTGCTGTGCGTTCATTATTATGAACCATTAATAACCTGAATGTTTAATTTAACAGGCTTTATGGCAGTCCGTCTGTAAGTGTAAGTTGTCCATAAGCCTGACATTCCTAGCCCAGGGACTCACTGTACTATGCACATACATATACTATGCATACTATATTGTTATGCTGATTTTACCTATGGAGACATTAATACATTCAGTGAATGTTTGCATGAGCTCATGAATTTAAATATGTCCTCTTTGATATTTATGTTTACTTAGGATTGCTCATCACTTTGTAGGGCGTAGATTATTCAAAGTCATACACAGTATCTACATGGGTCTAATTTAATTCCTGTTCCTGCATAAATGCTGGAGATTTCTAATGACGTGGATTAATTAAAACATAATACACTTATGTAGACATAGGCTTACCTGTTGTTGTTTTTTCTTTTTTTGTATAATAAATCGAAAATGATTTTTGTACCTAAAGGGATAGAATAAGTGAAGAGGATGACCCAATGTTTCTCTTCCTCCAGAGATCGCCCCAAACTATGAATTTTACAAGAATGCAGATGTTAGGCCACCATTTACATATGCAACGCTCATAAGGCAGGTAAGTGGGAAATAAATCGTCTCTCTGATGAGATTAAAAATGAATTGCTAGCTTAAGAATGGCAGTTTGGAGATAGTGTGGCCCCTGCCTGTTATTTTGCCGCTGTCCCTCTTCAGGCCATCATGGAATCATCTGATTGGCAGCTAACACTAAATGAGATATATAGCTGGTTCACACGCACCTTTGCCTACTTCAGACGCAACGCTGCAACATGGAAGGTGGGTCCTCTGTCATCTCCTAAATATACCTTTTTTATTAGAACTTTGCCCCCTTTTCAGTCCAGTCGCCTGAGCTGAAGTTGTAATTAATTGGCAAGACCAGCGTGTTCTATGCTGGCACTTTCTGCATTTGCATAAGCAGTTTGTTGGTACCCTATAGGCAATGCTGTGAACTTGTGAGGTGCCAGAGCTCAAAAAGACCACCCTGCTGTCATACACGCAAATCAATATTTAACAACAATAGTGTTCTGTTAGTTTCTTAAATACATAACAATGCCACATTTGTTACATCAAACTTTTCAGCTTCCACAAACGCTGCTCCTCTCCTCACTCTCTCTGCTTGTTCTCATTAGCATTAGCGTCCACAAACGCTGCTCCTCTCCTCACTGTCTCTGCTTGTTCTCATTAGCATTAGCATCCACAAGCGCTGCTCCTCTCCACACTGTCTCTGCTTTTTCAAAGAAATTGTACATATTACTGTCTTTTCTGCATTTTATTTTAATTATTTTGCTGTGACAACCGAGCATGTAACCTTGTTTATTTTAGTGGCCAAAAAATTGATTTTTCTGCACATGCATGGTGCAGTTTGTCCCTTTGAAATCGAGTCAGATAAGCGAAACATTCTAATTTAGGCCGATGTATTTAAAAAAATCACACAAGACAAACAATTTTAGAAATATACATTTCTGTAGGGGGGCGGCATGGTGGTGCAGTGGTTAGCACTGTTGCCTCACACCTCTGGGACCTGGGTTCGAGTCTCTGCTTGGGTCACATGTGTGTGGAGTTTGCACAGTCCAAAGACATGCTAAGGCTAATTGGAGTTGCTAAATTGCACTTAGGTGTGCATGTGTGCGTGTGTGTGTGCCTGCCCTGTGATGGGCTGGCCCCCATCCAGGGTTGTTCCCTGCCTCATGCCTGTAGCTTCCAGGATAGGCTCCAGACCCCCCGTGACTCAGAAGGATAAGCAGGTTGGACAATGGATGGATGGATGGATGGGTGGACATTTCTTTAGTTCATTTTGCATTTATTCTAAAGGTTACCCGATGTTAATGTTCAGTTTAATTACACTGGGTGTAGCGTTTGAGGTGGCGGAGCCCAGGCTGCTCGGAGGCAGGGTCCCGGGGCTGAGCTCCAGCACTAATTAAGCACTATAGGTAGACAGAATGATAGGTAATGCGTGCATCAGATTCCTACATTAGCACATAAGGTAAACAGGATGTGGGGTTTTGTTCATGTTCCCCAAAGTGCAAATATCAGACTCCACCTATGCCTAAAGAGATATTTCCTACATCTTTCTCTTTGTAGAAGGGTAACTAGATAAGAGAACTCTGAGGTAGAAATGACCTAGAGTCAAGCACTGACATGTCAAGTAGCCAGTAGCTATTTAAGACATGGCGGGGGGAGGGGTTCACATGTGTGTGGAGTTTGCATGTTCTCCTCGTGTCGTCGTGGGGTTTCCTCCGGGTACTCCGGTTTCCCTCCACAGTCCAAAGACATGCTGAGGCTAATTGGAGTTACTAAATTGCCCATAGGTGTGCGTGAATGGTGTGTGAGTGTGCCCTGCGATGGGCTGGCCCTCTGTCCTGGGTTGTTCCCTGCCTCGTGCCCATTGCTTCCGGGATAGGCTCCGGACTCCCCGCAACCTAGTAGGACAAGCGGGTTGGAAAATGGATGGATGGATGGACGGGGGGAGGGGTACAAATCGGGATTTGGGGGGTTTCTTGGTGCCAGATTAGCTATTGTGAATGAACCTGGGTCTGAAGGCAGGAGATGCTGGTGAGCAGAGGGATTTGTCTACCTTAGGTAGTGTTTATCACATCTCACACCACGCGTTCACATGGGGCCCCCAAAAGCCCCCCATTAGCTACAAATAGTCATTAAATTAAATATTAAATGAATGCATTTATTTAGGAGATGCCAAACCAGCTAGCTACCATCTTCGGACTATACACACTAGCTATTTATTTAGTTTTTGAAACATTTGGGTTGGGGGGGGCAATGTAACTTTTAGGTTGGGGCACCAGAAAAAACAAAACTGCCTTTGTTTACGAGATGTTTGCTTGCTTTCTTTAATGCTGGGGAACCATCAGGTGTGTTTGTTTGTTCAGCTAAGCTCAAGCTTCAGAATATATGCATATAGAGTTAATATTTATTAAAATAGCATTGTTTGTGTTTCACACATTTTACATGCATTGCAAAGATCAGGGAATGTACAGTTCACATGCACAATAAAATGTAATTAGTTATATTTACATGTGGGTGTCACATTTGTTTTATAGAGTATTAAAAGAGGGACGTGCTGTGGACCAGTCATGTGATTAAGTGGGAGAGATTTTACAAAGATATGAAAGGTGATTTAATATGTGAGCCTGAACTCATCAGTCCAGCTGGGACCCAGCCCTCATTCTGAAAAGCTTATTAGTTCTAACTATATAGCATGCATAATAAAACTGCTCATTTGCTCATTAATATTAAAATGATCATATTCAGAGCCATGGGCATTAAGATCAATCAAATCCTTGGTTTTCAGGTCAGATGTGAGATGTGCTTATGAGTTTTTATGGATTTCCTCCCTATGAGCAAAACCAGCTCTTCCCAGACATGGAATTATGACTGAAATGTCCCTGAAATGAAACAATAGGTTGATATTTTATGAAATGTCTTTGATATTTTAATTAGGATCATTTGCATATATATGGAAAGTGTATTGCAAATAGCAAATTTATACAAACTGTAATTTTGTAAGACATAATGACGGTATGTGTTTTTTACAAGATCATTGAAAAGTCATTTCTTTGCTGAGACTTACAGATTTTTGTACTTTTTATTTTTAATTTTTGCATTTTTATTTTAATGTATTTTTTATGAATAGTGTATCTGTGGCTTAATTCTTGCCTAAATTTTTGTTACAAATAAAACTGCTTTCCCAAAATAATACATGTTCATATTTAAGCATTTCTTGAAAAATGAAGGTGTGCTTGCACAAAGGGGAAAAAAAGGTTTTTACACTAAAATGAACCTCCACATACCCAGAATGCCGTGCGGCACAACCTCAGCCTGCACAAATGCTTTGTGCGTGTGGAGAATGTGAAGGGTGCTGTGTGGACCGTGGACGAGATGGAGTACCAGAAACGGAGGTCACAGAAGATAACGGGGTGGGTGCTGCCCGTGACACTCTAACAAGGGTTTGGGGGAGGGGGTGGGGGAGGGGGAGGGGGAGGGCATACACTGTCAGAGGAAGAATTGGTGAGCGGGAGAAATATCTGAATTCTCAGCAACATATTCTTCAATCAAAAAGTGTAACCTTCCAGTTTATGATTAAGAATGGTTCCTTTTTTATCTTTACTGTTCTTATGCACATTGTGCTCCCTACTTTGTGCTCACATTGTACTTCATTCTGCACTGTATGAGCTCACTGTGAACTTTCCCTGGATATCTTGGGTTAGGCTGCCTTCCTCAGCAGTGCAGCTGCACTGTAAATGCATCATAAATTGACGTTTTCCAAATGTATGAGGTGCCATGTCTGTCTGCTGTGGATTTACAGGAGCCCCACGCTAGTGAAGACCCTGCCCCCCAGTCTGGGTTACGGAGCAGCACTCAACGCAAGCTTACAGGTAACTGGTGGGGTCTCCTGTGGACCCCCAGGACAGAATATTATCCTTTTGAGGCTCTTGTGGTGTAGGGGTGGATGGACAGCTGAGCTCCGTACCTGGGGCGGGGTGGCGTTGGGAGGGAGTCAGACTAAGCACTGTTCTTGCTGTCATAAGGGAGATAAGGGCCCCCTGTGGCTGAGGTTGGAACTGCATCTTCAGTTCACAGTTACCAAATTCATGCTTGTAACTGATTTTAGTTTTTCCAAGTGTAAATGGAAAATTGTTCATGTTTGTCTTGTCTTGGGGAACATTTTGCATAACTGCTGGTGAGCATATCATCTATTTCAAGCCCATTATAAAAGACTTTGAAAAACTTGAAAGAAGTACTGAGACAGGCGATACTGATGTATCAGACAGAAAGACCATGTTTTGCACTGTATAATTAGTTTAATCATCATGTATTATAGCTTCAAGGCAGGGAATTGTATTTGTCTCCATGTTTTTTTAGTATCCTTATGTTGCTTAGCTGAAGTTTCATCCTAAGAGGCAAAGAGCTATTTGGCTCATTTTATGGGGGAGAAATCTGGGGTTAGGGTTAGGGTTAGGGATAGGGTTACTGCAGGTCCTGGGCCTTCAGCTGAGCCTGTAAGTTAGCAGATGCCTCACATTGTCTCTCCCTGTCTTTCCCTGTCCTCCCAATGCTTTTGTGTCTCTATTTTCTGTCTCGCTCACATTGTCTCTCCCTGTCTTTCCCTGTCCTCCCC